CGGCTTTGCCCGATTTCCCCCGGCGGTTTTGTGATCCTGTTTTTTGAGGATTACAAAACCGCGGGCAAAATCGGGCAAAGCTGTGGATAAAAATGCGGCCGCGAGGCTTCGAGTGGGAAATTGACACATACCATCGGGGCAAAGAGAGGAGCGAGCGCAGAGCAGCGTCTGTGGGAAATCGGTCCATGAGTCTACCTCATCCCCTTTTAAAGCGGTTTATTCCTGTGGCCATCACTACATCCTCTGGCTGTGAATTCCACATTTTAATCACTCTCTGTGTAAAGTAGTTTTTAAGTTAGTTTGGCAACCAAGGCAACTACGTTAGTCAGGCAACTAAGTTAGAATGACAAAGTGCCCTAAAATAAGTCCTCAGTTAGAAGGACAAGAAGAATTATTCCTGGCATTTTCAGAGTGTCCAGACAATAATCCTCAGAACAGTCCTTTAAATAAGGCCTCTGTGGTGGAGAGGTATTAAAGCTGGCTTGCCTATAGCCACTGGCAAGATTTGAACCAGGTGCCCCCTAGATGATAGCTCATTCAATCTCTTACGAGGAGAGGAGATTGGATTTATACCCCGCCCTCCACTTGGAGTCTCAGAGCGGTTTACAATCTCCTTTCCCTTCCCCTCCCCACAACAGACGCCCTGTGAGAGAACAGCTCTGACAGAACTATGGCTTGCCCAAGGTCATCCAGCAGCTGTAAGTGGAGGAGTGGGGGAATCAAACCCGGTTCTCCCAGCTTAGAGTCCGCACACTTAACCACGACACCAAACTGGCTGCTACGTACGCTTAATACACTACATAAGTTACCTTCCTTCCTGCATAGGACTGTGTAAGTTACGGGGGTGTTAAGTTCCACCGGCTTCCAGGCCAACTGGACTCCATCTTCAAGGACCTCCATGATGTCAGGAGATGGAGGGTTCGATGGTGCCTCTGTCAGATGAGATGCAAAACCGTTTATTACAGCACGAACAAGACCTTGTCTGCCCTTCCAAGTGTATTGACTGATTGATTTAAAACATTTCTTAGCCACCTTTCTGCCTTACAGGAACTCAAGGTGGCTTACGGTGTAAATAATAATCAAATACGATTAAATGCATAAAAACCCCTGATTGACATCAATAATTTAAAGCTGTTGATAGGGAGAAGAACTAATCAAATGCCATCATGAATCAAACTGTTGTCAGCTGCCTTCTAGAGATTGTGTCTGAGGGTAGATGAGCAAAGGTTTTTAAAGGGCGCGGTTATTAAGCACTTGATGTTTCTCCATTGACCTGGGGCTTGATTATTTTTGTTGTAGATTTCCCGGGCTGTATGGCGGTGGTCTTGGCATTGTAGGGCCTGACGGTTCGCCAGCAGCTGTGACTGGCATCCTCAGAGGTATGACACAGAAAGATGGAGGACTCTCTGTGTCAAGGTGAGAAGAAAAATGGTAGGCGGGTAATTTATATCTACTCAGGAAGGTGGGGTAGGGCTGAGTCATTATCTTGTAGGAGTTCCCCAGGCTGCGACATGATTTATTTGATTATTATAATCTGCCAAGTTGGAGTACTTGCCAAGTATCTGCCAAGATGGAGTACTCTCTGTGTCAAGGTGAGAAGAAAAATGGTAGGCGGGTAATTTATATCTACTCAGGAAGGTGGGGTAGGGCTGAGTCATTATCTTGTAGGAGTTCCTCAGGCTGCGGCATGATTTATTTGATAATTATAATCTGCCGAGTTTAACTTTAAGCGCTTTTCTATTTACTTGTGACGATTCTTCTACGCTGGGTCACATCCGTGCCTAAACATAAATAGAGGGGCACTAGGAATTTCTCTCATTACCCCTGACCGGTAGATCAGCATGCAGATGGGCAGACGGCAGCTTCACAGGGACTCGGGGAGGGCTAACTCGAAAAGCAGGCTCTTCAAATTAGGCCAATCGTTCATTTAATTACCGATTATTTAAATTGTTGCTAGTTTACCTCCTGTTATTAATACTGTGCTGCAGGAACTGCTGTCTATCAATGCTTGCTGTCTCGATCACTATATTGATCTGGAATAGCTACCCTCCGGCATAACCTCCGACATTCCGAGGCCTTGCAAAACGAACCATCCAGCCTCCTTTGATCATTTCTGTCTCAGCCTCTTCCCTGAGCAAAGAACTGAACTATTTTCAATATTTTCAACAAAGGATGTCCAGATATGAAGTGTAATGGCTTTAATCTCCCAGCAGCTCTGGGTTTGGAAATTCCTGGAGATTTGGGGGTGGAGCAGAATTTGAAAGGGGAGGGACTTCGGCATACTGCAGTGCCATTGACTCCGCCTCCAAAGCAGCCATTTTCTCCAGGATAGTCTGGAGTTCAGCCAGGGCTATTTTTGGGCAGGAACGCACAGGAACGGAGTTCCGGCTGGCTCTCAAGTTGGCTACGCCCAGCAGGAACTCATTAGCATAATAGGCCACACCCAACAGCAGGAACTCATTAGGATTGGCTGCATTAGGGGTGTGTGGCCTAACATGCAAAGGAGTTCCTGCTACAAAAAAGGCCCTGGGTTTTGACCACAAACAAGGTAAACAAAATAAGAAGCAAAAGGTGGGTGTGGCTGGATGAGCACACTTCTGGTAACATGGGGGTGCGGCCTAATGTGCTAATGAGCTGTGCTGTCAGGGGTGTGGCCTAATACGCTAATGTGTTTCTGCTGTTGGATGTGGCCTATTATGCTAATGAGTTCCTGCTGGGCTTTTTCTACAAAAAGAGCCCTGAGTTCAGCTATAATTCCGGACCCACCGGGACGTTAGCCATCCTATTCTTCCTGCTTCTCTTTATGGGAGCTGCAGGTGTGAGCGGGGAAATTCCAGAGACAGCACATCAGTCAATGTGTTTTCTGTGCCCACAGTTCCAATGTGGGGTGAAGCCAAAAAGGATCCGTTCCTGACCAATGCTCCCTCTAAGCTGTGGAGTCTTGTGAGCAAAAATTCTACTTTGTGAGCTACTGGCATTAAAGCTGTGAGCGAGCGATTTGGCTGCTGCATACATTAGTTTGGTCTGGCGCCATCCTTCCGGCTTAAAAATGTGTGAGCCGGAGGCTAAAAAACTCTGAGCTAGCTCACACTAACTCAGCTTAGAGGGAACACTGTTCCTGACCAACTTTCCAATTTTAAAGAAGAAGAGAAGAGATTGGATTTCTACCCCGCCCTTCACTACCCAAAGAAGCCTCAGAGCGGCTTACAATCCCCTTCCCTTCCTCACAGCAGCCACCTTGTGAGGTAGGTGGGGCTGAGAGAGCTCTCTTGAGAACTGTCCTTGAGAGAACAGCTCTGAAAGAACTTGTGACTGACCCAAGGTCACACCAGCAGCTTCATGTGGAGGAGTGGGGAATCTACACTCCACTCCACTCCACTCCATTCCACTCCACTACACCACACTGGCTCTCAGGCTGTGGGGGAGGAGTTGTGTTATGTATTCACTATATTAAATGCAATGTTAAGCTTGAGTTTCAGCCAGGATTCTAAGCTGGAACAATCCTATTGGCTGAAGGTAAAATGTCACCAATCAAAGCTTAAGAACTGTGCTGGAGGGAACAAACCTGATTGGACTTATTTGTAAGCATACGATTGGTCCTTAACTATTCCTGGGCGTGGCTACATCAGCCCGGGATTGTTTAAAAGGGAGCTATGCTCCACTGTTTGTGTTGTGTGTTCTTCTGAGGTTCCTGTTGTTAAATAAAGCTGAAATCACTTCTTACTACGGCGTTGAGTCAATACTTGACAAGTTGCATCTGGGAAAAACCTCCCTGAATGTGGGAAGCAACATTTAGGGCTGCCAGGTTTCTCCCTGTGGTGGGAGGCATTCCATTGGCAGCCTTCTTTGGGGAAAATAAGCCCCCCGGTCACATCAGCAGTGTCAGTATGTCACTTCCAGGAAAAACCCAGAAGTGACATAGGACAGCTCCAGGAATTCCTGGAGACTCTATGGTTATACTCTATGGTTATACCATAGAACAGTGGTGGCGAACCTATGGCACGGGGGCCAGAGGTGGCACTCAGAGCCCTCTCTGTGGGCACGCGTGCCATCGCCCCAGCCAGGCCCAGACCATCATTAAAGTGTCGAATTCTCTGCCAAATAATTTTCAGTCAATGAAAGCATTTGGGATTGCTTTCCTTACTTTGTTCGGATCATCTTAAGTTAATGTGTGAGTTGTTTTTTTCTAAAGTAAAACCTCAGCATTCAGGTTAACATTGCTGTGTTGGCACTTTGGGATAAATAAGTGGGTTTGGGGTCGCAGTTTGGGCACTCGGTCTCTAAAAGGTTCGCCATCACTGCCATAGAATGTCCACTAATTCCTAGAAGTACCCCATATCACTTCCAGGTTTTCGCCGGAAGTGACGTAGAGATGCCCCTGACGTCATGACCCCCTAGAGTCTCCACCACCAACACTGTTGCAACCCTAAGCAGGTAGATAACAAGGCCAAAATTTTCTTCCACAGTAACACTTTAGAGAATTTTCTGTCGCAATCTCAACAGACCAAAGCGGAAAGATCTCCTTCCTTTACCTGCTTTCCTTATTACACAGGTGGTGGAGACGGTGCCCTGAGAGTTGGTGGCTACACAGGTGTAAGTCCCAAAATCATCCTTTGTCGCCGCTAATATAGTTAAAAGCTGGTAGTGTTTGAGCGTGGACGAAATCAGTATCCTGTCTGTGCTGCGAAGGGCGGCCCCATCTGCAAACAATAGATAAAGCACTGTCAGTTAAACCTCTGATCAAGTCACATGTAGATTTAACTGATGAAGGATTATGAGGCCGCGATGTGCCGCTAACCTTCGAAATAATGCATACCCCTCGTAGAGTTGCCAACCTCCTGGTGGGATTCTCAAAACAACATCCATGATGAAAATAACGCTAACGAATTATGCGCAAGACCATGGGTCCTGTGATTAGTCAACATGGAATGTTTCCTTGAAGAGTTGATAAGTAGTAATTAAGAATTGGGATGGCTACACGCCCAGATAAAGCAAATATTGTGAAACGAATTGTTCATTCCACAGTATTCGTTAGTGTGTGAGCAATAATCAGGGGTCATTTCCTGCTGGAGTGCACAGGAGCAGAGCTCCGGCAGTAAAGAGCCCAGGGGGTGGGCACATGCAGCAAGCCCCACCCCCTGCTCCCAGCAGCCCTCAGGCAGAGCAAGAAGCAGCCAGGTAAGCTGCAGAGCCCCCCTCGCTCAAAACAGTCCAGTGGTACCTTTAAGATCAAGTTTTATTCAGGTACAAGCTCTCCCTCCTCTGTGAGGACAGATCTGCACGTTTCCCCCCGATAGCAAGCAATCCAAAACAGTCCAGTGGAGCCTGAGCGGTGGGTGTTGCCTTCTGACACACTTCCAGTTATGTCAGGGGGTGTGGCGTATGCAAATAAGTTATGCTAATGAGCTCCTGCACCTCTTTTTCTACGAAATGACCCCTGGCAATAATAGAAGAAAATTTTCCACAGAATTACTACAGTAAACGTTTTTGCAACTTATCTTTATTGACTCTTCATTATTTTCATCAGGGATGTTGTTTTTGGAATTCCACTTCCTCTCGTGATCTCTCATTTTGGCTTCAGCCTCCTGATGGGGCCTGGGTATCTCATGGTATTCCAACTGGTCTGTGGTCTACAGTGATCAGTTCCCCTGTAGGAAGCGGCTGCTTTGGAAGGGGGGCTCCATGGTATTACCCATTCAGGCCCCTCCCCTCCCCAAACCCTGCTCTTGCCCAGGCTCCACCCCCAAATCTCCAGGGATTTCTCAACCCAGAGATTGCAACCCTGTGCCACCACGAGGAACATGAATGGAGGAGTGCTCCATTCAAAGAGAAATACCACACCTGAAAGTAACGGGTTGGGGGGGGCGGAAAAGCAACAAATAATTCCTTAATACAGTTAGACCGGAACTGAACCTGATCCCTGGATCTGATCACCAGATTCACACTCCACATTTCCCAAGTAGTTGGGGAGGGGGGGACATCTCACGTCACCTTTGAACCATTCAACGTGAGGAGACGAATGCGCAGAAGTCCGGCAGGACAGTGTCACCGACTGACCGGGGGCAATCGTCTGGTCCGTAAGTTCCTCCACAAAAGAAGGTGCTGGGGAAATATCCAGAGAGAAGCTACTTAGAGTGCAAGCCACAAAGCATCGATACTTGAAACATTTAACTAGTTAGTCGTTTTCTGTCTTCGTAAGGGCCATCAAGGCAGGCCAACAAATTAAAGCACGTAAATTAAAATCACATCTTAAGCATTAGCACCAACCCCCTATTGTTAAAGCAAATAAAACCAGAGTGAAAATCCACACGAAAACATAAAACAACAATTAAAACATCAATTAAAACAGTGAAAGCACGTACATTAAAATCACATTTTAAGCATTGGCACCAACCCCCTATCGTTAAAGCAATTAAAACCAGAGTGAAAATCCACACGAAAACATAAAACAACAATTAAAACATCAATTAAAACAGTGAAAGCACGTACATTAAAAATCACATTTTAAGCATTAGCACCAACCCCCTATCGTTAAAGCAATTAAAACCAGAGTGAAAATCCACACAAAAGCATAAAACAACAATTAAAACGTCAATTAAAACAGTGAAAGCGTGTTCCCTTTTACCCTTTCTGTTATATACTTTTAAATAAGCCGTATTCCCTATAGGCATCCTGACCTAGATGGACCAGGCTAGTCTGGTCTCGTCAGATCTCAGAAGCTAAGCAAGGTTAGCCTTGGTTAGTATTTGGATGGGAGACCCCCCCTCCCCAAGGAAGCCCAGGGTTGCTACACGGAGGCAGGCAATGGCAAACCACCTCTGTATGTCGTTTGCCCTGACCTGGATAGCCCAGGCGAGCCTGATCTCATTAGATCTTCGAAGCTAAGCAAGGTGGGCCTTGGTTAGTACTTGGATGGAAGCCCACCTAGGAAGTCCAGGGTTGCTACACAGAGGCCCCGGTCACACGGGCCAGATAACGCAGGGGGGAGATGTGGCTGTTCGCCCCGGAGCAAAATAAAGCACGGTAGCCCAATCACACGGTCTCCCGAGGCTCCGTGCTTCGGCTGTTAGCTGGTGATCACACGGCGATGCTGCAGCGTGGCAAACAAGCTGCATGGTGCAATCACACAAGCGTTTCACGTTTGTGCGCATGCGCAGTTCCGCAGAGAAGCACTGCTTTCAGTTTCGTGTTTGTACGTGTGCACTTACGAAAAACATCGGGTTTGCGACGGGACATAGACGGGCGCCGGATGCCACGGGATACTAGCGCTCCCGCGATCAGACGCCTGCCTGTGCCACACGTTTTCTGGATACTAGTGCACTTTCCTTGGTACTTTTTAACTCTGCATCTTCGGCGGGACGCTACGGGTTGGCCACAGGTGCACTACGCTTCTGGAAACAGGCGAGTATAAACCGAAATAGCTACCTACCTACCTCCAAGTAAATAAGAAACTATCTTAATATCTCTCTGTAACTCTAAAGGAACCTTGAGTGTATGTGAATTGAGAGACTGATTGTTTTGTATGTATGACTTTGATATTGCTTAGTAAAAAGATTATCTTTTGGAAAAATACCCTTGTGGTCTACATTACAGGGACTCTGGGTTCGGATACGACCCTGGTATAGCTGGTCAGAACTCACGTTAAAATTTAGCTAGCCTCAGCTGTAGATAAAGCTGTTGGCGTAACACAGATGTTGCGGTGTGATCGCGCCCCGAAAATCCGCCCGACATGCGTGGCAAATTCTCCGTGTGACCGGGGCCAGGGAAAGGCAATGGGAAACCACCTCTGAACATCTCTTGCCTTGAAAACCCCACCAGGTATCGCCATGAGCCAACTACGACTTGATGGCGCTTTCCTCCACTACCGTTCCCTGTACGAGAGTAAGAAAGACCAGCCCAAGAGAGAGGTGTGAAGAACACTGGCTGCCCCCTTTCCCCCTCTCCTGCCACTGCCTCTCCCCTTCTAAGGTGCAGGCAGGATCCATTCGCTGCAATCCAGTGAGTCGCTCAAGTCTTGGTGGACCATATCGGTCAGTACAGTTTTACCCTTTGCTCTGTCTATCGAGAAGGTTTTTTACTGTAGGAGCTGTATGCAGCTTTCAACCTATGCCAGTGGTGGCGAACCTACGGCACGGGGGCTAGAGGTGGCACTCAGAGCCCTCTCTGTGGGCACGCGTGCCATCACCCCAGCCAGGCCCAAACCATCATTAAAGTGTCGAATTCTCTGCCAAATAATTTTACGTCAATGAAAGCATTTGGGATTGCTTTCCTTACTTTATTTGGATCATCTGAAGTTAATGTGTGAGTCGTTTTTTCTAAAGTAAAACCTCAGTATTCAGGTTAACATTGCCGTGTTGGCACTTTGCGATAAATAAGCGGGTTTTGGGTCGCAGTTTGGGCACTCGGTCTCTAAAAGGTTCGCCATCACTGGCCTATGCTTTCCCAGTCTCTGGCTATTTTTATTTATTTATCTGTTTGCTCGTTTGATTTGTATCCCGCCCTCCCCGCCAAGGCAGGCTCAGGGCGGCTTACAGGATAAATATAGAGAGAAGTGAAGAGAGAACAGATTGGATTTATACCCT